GGGGGGGGGAAGTAGGTCCCCCCCTCATTCTCACTATGGCCCCCACCCGCCGCCCAGGGGTGGGGGCGGGGGGGGAGTACTGCCCCCCCTCATTCTCACTATAGCCCCCACCCGCCGCCCAGGGGTGGGGGCGGGGGGGAGGACAGTAGGTCCCCCCCCATTCTCATTATGGCCCCCACCCGCCGCCCAGGGGTGGGAGGAGTACTGCCCCCCCCTCATTCTCACTGTTTAGGGGTGGGGGCCAATAGTTGGGTTTTTTTTGTTTTTTTTTTTACAGTGAGCAGCCACAGGCAGCCACGGTATAGCGAGTAGGGGCATTTGGGAGATTTTAATCTCCCTTGTGCTATTATGGGGGTCATATTGACCCGCATAGAGTGAGATGGGGACCTGGGGGGGCATATGAAGTGGTGGGGAGCACTGCTCCCTGCCGCTTCTATAGCTACATATTACAAGGAGGGAGCTGCACGCCGGTAGCTCCCTCCCTGTAATAAACTGCACGAACAAACAAACACTGATACTCAGATACACTGATACATTGTGTTTGTTTGTTTGTTCGGCTGATATTTCTATTCACTCATTCGTCTGTCTGATGAATGAATGAATAGATGAAATTCCCGTTCGCATGTCCAGGTGTTTCACTGGGCATGTGCGGGAATCTCACAGTCTGTCTAGTGTGGGCTGATGACGTGTCCCTGAGGGACTTCACCTACCCACACAAAGATGGCGGCGCCCTGGATATAGATCGGGGCAGAAAATAAGGATTAAAAAATAGGTAATGCTGGGGGCTTAGGGGCATTTGGGGGTGACTAGTGAGTCAATTGGATGTAGTGGAGGCGGGAGAGGGGTTAAAAAAAAACAAAACAGAATTCGGCATGACAGTGCCGCTTTAAACTGAAAAAAAGATCAACAGTGATTAAAACAAAACTACAAAATAGTTAGAACTAGCAGCAAAAATGCCATAGTCATATCATATCTACATACATTAAGGGCATACATTCCATTTGATAATAGATAAAATATTGTTATTGTCTAGCCACCATTACTGAAACCTTATTTTATGCATCATTTCACAAGCCCCCCTCAAAACAAAACCATAAACAAAACAGTTCAGTGAAAATGTGGGGTAAATATACAAAAAAAAAATCTAACATATAGGAAACAGAGAAGTTCCCCAGGCTTTTTTAACATATAAAGTTTCAACAAGCAAAACGAATTAAAATGTAGCACAGTGGGGATACTATAAATTTAGTGTGATTTTGCTTGTTTGTTGTGAAAACATGATATGTTTCTATAACATTCCATAATATTTCTATATTGACTTATTGATATGAAATAGAACATATGCTGGACAACTTGGAATATTGAGACAAATAGTTTATCCTTTTCTTTGGACAACCACTGTTATTTTGCATGACTGATGTTTATAGTGTGAATTGTTAGGAAAAACTGGTATTTCTCCTCCTTTAATTCAGTCTCAGCAAATGCAATGCCTACAAGGGAAAATAGGAATGAGGGGGAGGGGAGGGACAAGCTCTGTGTCAGAGCAGCACCATTAGCAAATACAGGGAGAGGAGAGAAACAGCCAGAATTATTTATTGCAGCAGAATTTAACAGGTACTCTGAAAATGGAGATTATTATTTTTTTATTATTTTAATTTTTTTTGTCCCCCCTCCCTGCTTGTTAACTGGTCAGGGAGGGGGCTATCTTAATCCTTGGTGGTCCAGTGGCATGGGCTGTGAAGTGGGGGGGCCGGCAGGAAGCATTTACTTACCTTTCCTGCAGCTCCTGTCAGCTCCCTTCTCCTCCGTTCCGGTCAGCTCCACTGTAAGTCTTGCGGTCTGGTTGCCGCGCGGATCGTTGCCATGGCTCTGACGGCCGCTGCTCTCTAAGTTGCCATAATACAGACAGTGACTCGAGTATAAGTCGAGTGGGGGTTTTTAAGCACAAAAAATGTGCTGAAAAACTAGACTTATACTCGAGTATATACTGTAAGTTAAAATTTTACTTCATAATAGCAGTACCGTGTAAAGGAAAAAAAGGCAGTGCATGATTAATGTCCACGGGTGTTTGCAATGGCTTTCATTATAAAAGTGTTGCACTGCTATACCAGATGTGGTAAACAAAATCTCTTAGATAGCCATAGTCTTGTCCTCTCTAGACATAATTGCTGTTATTCTGTTTATCGGATGAAGCATTAGTGCAGACATAGGATGGGAAGATAACAAACTGTGCAAGGCCGTCATTCTTCTCCCAGGAGTGAGCCCTGGTATTGTATGAGTAGGTTATTTAGAATCACTAGTAGAGGTAAGATAATAAACTATGCAAGGTAGGTATTCTTCCTCCGGACTTGCCGCCAAGCTGATTTGTGCGGTATGTACATGACGGATGTT